AAAAGATTGGTGACTGATACGGCGGTGAAATCGATAACAACACTAAATTCTGGTGTATGTATTTGAGAAATCCAACATACGAACAGCCACACTGTCAAATTCTTCAGTTCTAGTGAATAAGGCTTGTGTTTTTGTCTTTCGAATTTAACTTATAGCAAGAACAATGAATATTTCAAGATTTCAAAAATCTTTGGGAAAGCATACTGATTTTTTATTTGATTAGAATAGGTGAATTAAATTGCAGAGTGAATCGAATTAGTAGAAAATGTGAAGAAAACAACAACAACAACAACAGAGAATAGAATGTTCTGTAGATCATATCAGGTTAATGTCAGGTAAGAAAACGACTCTAAAATCTAGAACCATTGACTCTATAAGTATGAATACAAGTCAATATTTCAGAGTAGTTTTTATTTAGACGGATAAACGTGTACTTCAGAAACAACTGAAAATAAATGACTTTTGAATATCTGTCTGTATTGTTCTTTCAATGGTAGCGAGATGACGTGGATTGCCAATCTAATCAATCGTTTCTGCACAAAATAATCAGTTGTTTCGAAATTAGTTGTGTTCTCGGAGCTGGTTGCTATAATTGCGAAGCTTTCATCGTCCTTTTGGACAACAGATGTAAGTCGACTGCCAGTCATGAAGATGGTTGCCAGGAGACACAATTCTATCATTCATGGAGAATTTAAATCAGTTCATTTTATGCTAAAACCTGCGCTGTGAAGGGGGATGTTGTCTAGAAGGACGATGAAAGCTTCACAGTTGAATCAACCAGCTAAAAGAACACAATTAATTGCAAATCATCCACCTGAACTATTTTTCCTCTATATATCTTCTCTATTATTTAAAAATCAGTTGTTTCGATTAGAAAATAAACGAAACGTTGATCTGACTGGAATATCATCCTTTTAATGATTCCGTATTTCATTCAAATGAAAAGTGGTGAATTACGAAACTATCAATATGAACTTATATAAGAAAAATGAAAATAGTAACTTTTTGGCCTTAGCAGTAACAATAAAGTCAAAAATGTACAAAAAGTGTAAAATAATGTTAATAGCTAAAAGTTGTAAGTTAATTGAAATAGTGTCTCCAAAGATTACAAATATGAGATAATAAAAGAGCCTATTGTTTTGCTAACAACATAGCAATTCATAGGTTTCCCGCTTAATATTGTCTCTATCGCACAGAACACGGGCTAACCAAATATGGTATCGTTGAGTTCCTATACTTGGTATTACGAGGATATAGTTTTTTCATAATGACTTCTAGTTCTACCAGATGACATACAGAGGGAGAGTTGAGAATGGGTGGGTGTCGAGAGTCAGCATGAGTTTGGATGTATATCAACTAATGCAGTGAGAAACTGACTAAGTTGCACACCACTTACTCTACTGACAACCTTTAATACCCTACTCAAAATGACATAATCCTTTTCCAGTAGTCTAGTGGAGACTAAGGATGTGGAGCAGTAAAGTTCAATAGGTAAGATACACGAGTTAACAAACTGTAAACGCAGGGATTGAGTGATTCCAGATTTTTTGAGTTTCTTCATGTAGTAGCTTAGACGGAACATTTTCTTGGAGATCGATAAAATATGGAATAACCACGTAAGGTCAGAAGATAGAACTATATCAAGGTATTTTGTGTTAGACCTAGTTTCTGTCACACTTCCCTCTGTGCTATAAACATCGTGTATACTAACCAGTCGTTACAGATCACGTTTATGTCTAAAGGAGAAGTCAGTAGTCTGGCATTTCGAGGGATTTCACGTAAGAAAATATAGCTTAGACCACTTACCGATGTCCGACCAAAAGCCATTCAGTTTGCAACAGTCTGATTGGAACTTGACAGGAAGCGAGACGGTCAGATCATCAGTGTATTTAGCGAAGTCGATTTCTTCCGAAAGAGACGAGTTATGTAAAAAGAAGGAAAAAAGAAGAGGGGAGGGAACAGCGGCTGGAGGGACTCCAGCCTCAGTAACTAAGGTATAGTAATATTTGGCCTTGTATACAGCATTCTGTCAGAAAAATTAGAATTCAACTGGTTGGCCCAAAGTTTCTGAAATCCAATGAGTTATGGTATTCCATTTGGGAGTGGATGTGGGAATGGGCTGTTTCAAAACGCCTAAGCTGGGATAAACGGACAATAACTAGCTGTTTATATCTTTATTTTACAGAGCCAATAACCATTAAGTTTAGTACACAAAATGATCTTTTCGTACATAGGTTAACATAAAAATCACTAATCAGTAGCATAGTTTGTTCTTCTGTTGTCATTTATCATCAAATAGAATTGGAGGTTCTTCTAAAAGTGCTCGGTTGATATAGGTCTTGTTAAACACTGAATCTAACACTGATCTCATTGTCGTATACAATGCCACATAAGTAATATTCATTATAAGATTTATAATAATCCTGTTATTCGCATATAAAAAAAGTACACTTCTTAAGACAACAATGAGCATCTTTATAACATAAATGTCCTGGTCTATAACACATCACACAAATTCCATCACTGAATGATGACATTTCGCATAAGTGAGGCGAACAGCATTTAAATGGTGAACAGGTTTCTGTTAATTTTTTGCATACATCTAAAGAATTTCAAAAATATATGGAAGTTATGAACATAATGATGACTTAAGCCAAAGGAATAACAAATAAACTATCAAGTGCTGGTTTGCAGGAATTTGATTGACTACAGGTTTGATCACGAGCTGAAATCAGTTAGAGAACCGTAGGAAAATTAAGGAGTACTGGGCAGCTATTTCATCTTAGATTAGGGCTCTTCGGCAATGCATAACCACTGGGGTTCTAGTGAGGAGCTGTAACCAGCGCGGTCCACCAAGTTAGGCGAGAGGACAGTTACTCTCCTGTGCCATCGGCTGGTGGTTGCACTATATATCACAGGAGTTGGGATTCATGGTTTGGCCATCTGATCGGATCCCAGTGAGTGAATGGTCTACAGCCTCGCCTCATAATCTGGAGATCCTGGGTTTGAACCCAGGTGAATGCGTACTCTTGAGGAGCGCTGAACTAAGATGAAATAACTGTCAAGTACTCCTCGGTTATCCTATCGTTATCTAACTGATGTCAGCTTATGATCAAACTCGTATGTCAAAGATTTACAGAACACAATAATATTTCGTTGTATTCTCGTCATTAATGTGATAGGCTGAATATCCTTGTCACTTTTTTTTTTTACCGAATTATTGTTTTTTACCTTAAACTAACCTTTTTTCCATTCCTACATATATTCTGTTCTATATATGCTAATATAGGGCATAACAATATGACCTAATGTACCCTTGTGTAGGATTTTGCATTGATATGTCTACCTCACTTTATGTGAAGGCTAAGAAGATTAATAGCTTGAATTAATTGAAATAATATAATCGCTAGTGAAACTTCAAAACACAAGAGAAATAAACTTACTCTCTGCTGGATTCGGAGAGAACAGATGATGCCAGTGAGTGAAAGCCCTCAGGAAGCCAGTCGGCCGAGGTGTCTTTAATCAATGAGAGCAAAAATGGGCACAGAGACTTGCAGTGCCCACTCTATGTTTGAGCCTGGTTGGCAAGGCTACTCAGAGAGCACATGAAATAAGTATATATATATATATATATATATATATATATATATATATATATATATATATATATATATAGTAAAGAAATGTTGTAAGTTTGTGAGAGGAGATGGAATAGAAGTAGACTTTCCAAATCGTAAACTGCAAAGTCTATTGTCTACTCTAGCCATCCAAACGATAACCACGAACTCACGGAAGTTGTGGCCATCAGGATGTCTTTTTAACAGTATCAAAAACTAATTATGGATCAAAAGGCTTTTGGTGAAATGGATGACAACAGAGGACTGTTTACAGATACCAAACCTTTAATGATTTGATAAATGGAGGCAATGTATTATCCACAAGGTGATATAGGTTTCACCAGATAGACACCCCAGAAATCCGGTAGGCTTCATCTCAATCTCAAGAAAGTGAAGACGCAGCCTGCTAGACACAAAATCGACATGAGCAGCAGACGTGGACTCAGACAGTTATCATGTTCAAGGAACCTTATAGATCAAATTGAAAACCTTGAGAGTAACTGGAGATAGACAACAACTCCGAAAATTGAACCACGAAACTATAAATATCAAATTCACTGTAGTCATCAGAAAAAAGTCAGCGACAATAAGAAACATCACTAGAAAAACCTGTTGGAAGAACAGTGGAACTCTCTGAAAAGTACATGCAAAGGGACCTGAATAGATGTCTTAGAAAGGAAGAGGAGGCAAGGCAAAGAATGGATCACTATGAACATCTGGAGACTGACAGACCAAGAAAAGGATAGTAAAGCAGAAGAACCACTGCAGTGATAAATAACTAAACAAAATACTGAGTACAATCTACAGAGCATTGAGCAAAGGAGTTAGGGTACCAAAGAAGACAAAAGACACTTTCACAAAACATTGAATGCTGACGAATAACAGGCTGCAAGTAAGATAGACCTCAGAATACTAAATCAAATAACCAGGTGGCTATTCGGGGTGAGATCAACGCATATGAAACTAGTAAGAGGTGGTGAAGTAAACGAAATTACCAAAGAGGTGTAGGAGAGGAAGCACTAGGCTGATAACTTTGAAATACTCTTGAATCGGTCGCCACCTGCGACACCTCCGGAAATACAATCAAGAGACGCAGGACTTTCAACAAACTCCAACTCCTCCTATAAAAACAGAAGTCTTGAAGGCTACGAAGTTAGTGGAAACCACCCTGGAGACCAGCAATCCCATTTGGAATCACCCAGGAACACTGAAAACAGATGCAGAGACCTTGGTGGACATAGTCATGTTACTATAGCAGAAAGTGTAAAAGGAAATGTCATTCATCTCCATTAACCGACTATAATGATTATCCGGCACCCATTTTGATAGGTTTTCTAAATCATAAGTATCAGTTGTCCCTTCACTTTCAATCGCAGATCCTAATTAACCACCATGTGACGAAATTGATTCAGTCATATTGTATGATTCTGGGACAACACGTTCTTCTAGCTTGTTACCATTTTCACCCAGAGGTGACACTGTCTCCGATAAACCTGATCCACCTGCAGCAATATCAGAAGCGACTGTAAGAGGAGATACGCATTCTGGTTCCATACTTGTTGGTCGTTGAGCATTCGATGACTGAGTATTTTCATCACTTCTAGCTTCCTCACTTCTCGTTGAGTTTGTATTAGATGCCCGGAGAAAACGAAGGGCAAAGTGGAAGTTCGACATAGGAAACTAAATCGCTTCAGCAAAATACCATTATTAAAATAGTTTAGGCAAACGAATGGTGATACACCAATTAGGGTCTGAAGATTGCATCAATCAACTCGCAAGTTCGAAGAATCTATCAAATTCATTACTGCAAACACTTTCATGAAAACTGAGTTTCTGTAGAGAGCGAATTTATGCACACAAAACTATTTATTCAGAGAATAGGAATACTAGCCAATTTTTCGGGAAACAATATACACGAACAGAGTGAATTTGGGAAACGAAGGTTCACGAGGATTATATCATCATTCACATTTCCACAGCCGAAATGAGACATAATCCAATAAGTTTGTGAAATGAAATCTTGCCACAAGATCACAGATATCACCATCATAATTTATGTGCACACAATATAAGTTATGACAGACTATAAGAAAGTCGCAAAGTCATAGAGTTCATTTTTGGACAACATTGAGAGGAAATAAGCTGTCTCTATACCAATTGAAATTATATTTGGATTGTCATTTGACTTATAAACGATTAGTTATTATAACTATGCTCAATAAGTGAAGTTACATGTTTGGTGGGATGGGAGGTGTAGGTTGGCCGTGGAATATATAATCCCTGATTCTTACTAGTTCGAACTCTTTACCAGTGATGAAATACTCACTGAAACTCTTATGAAAATGAGGATAACAATAATTAGGTGAAATTTAGAAATCTGACGTACGGCAAAGCTACAAGTCCAATTAAAGCCACAGTTCATTAAATTAAGAATGTTACCAGTCTATGGAGTCCTTGATTATCGTTATCAATAATTTAAGGAGAAAAGCTAATCAATAGATGAAATAGTTCACAGTGTCACTGGTGTTCACTCTATACCACTGAAGTGTTTCATTACATCATAAGGATATTGTGATGTAAAAACACTACCCTGGTTAATACAAACTAGTTGAGTGATAATTCTGATGTCAATTGTATCATTTCATCCCACTAGTTAACTGTTAGGGCAAGCTTAGTGAAATGTCTAACAAACCGAGCAGTAGCATTAGGTAGTACTGTGGTGAGAGCTGGCTGCTAGCCAAAGTTGGTAGACAGTAATTGACGTCAATGTTCATGTCCCCAATTTCGATGGTGAGAAAATGAGAACAAAGTCTTTGCTTAGGCGGATACATTTAGAATATAGATGGTCTGACACAGCCACCAAGAAATGCAAGGTTAACTTTCTGTGAGAAACAATCAATCAAAAGACTGTACTTTCTACTTACAATAATCTACAATAATGTACATTAAAATCTATAAATATGTGCTGATTTTCTTTAACAAACGATCAGTTGCCTGGCCCTTGTCTTCTGTTGTTACAGTACAACGAAAGACCTAAATGATGAAGTGAAACAGATAGAAAAAGCGTTGGTGTTAAATTACTATCCTATACAACTCATTAGGAGGATCGGAAAAGGTCAAAAGCAAAATAAAAATAATGGGGAAGCTGATGATGGCAATATAAATACGAGAGAATCTGTCTGTCTGTTTTCGACATAGAACTTTGCACATATGTGCGGCAGTTCAAGTCGCCACAATCCATGTAGCACGCAAAGCAAGAGAAGGAAGTAGAAGAAATGCAAAATATAGACAGTAAACAGAGGTGTGAGACAAAGGAATAGTAATAACGGAGAACAAAACAGTTTAACTGGAAATGATAAGTCACAAGGAGTGGATGCATCTGCGCCACTGAGAACGATTTTGAGCCATGTCGCCAATTGTTTCCAACCATTGGTTTTTATCATCCCGAGGGCCCCAACCAGGAAGTCTACATCTTCCTACGTGGCTTAGATTAACTGTTGTGGATTTCATTGATTGGTGCCATGTTTTGGTTTGACCGCCGCTAGCTCTTTTCCAGCCTGACCCTATATCAGCTAACATTGCCCGTCGAGGAAGGCGATGACTAGGCATACGTAGCACATGTCCTAACCATCTCAGTCGATGCAATTTCACAGTCTCGTCGATTGATTTCCCCGCCTTACCTAGCACTCGACGCCTAACCTCAATATTGCTCACCTTATTATTCCACTTCACGCGGGAGATAGAACGCAGACACCTATGATCGAAGACAGCTAATCTTTTCATGTCTTCTGCTCTCAATGGCCAAGTCTCACAGCCATAAAGGAGGACGGAGCGGACTGTTGAGCAGTACACACGCCCTTTGGTCGATAGTCGGATATCGCGTCTACGCCAGAGACGGCGAAAACTGGCGAATGCGAAACTAGCCCTCTGTATTCGTGCTGAAATTTCGTCGGAGATCAACCCGTTGGGGCTGATGGTACTTCCCAAGTAAGTGAAGCGGTCAACGTGTTCTACCACTTCACTTCCTATTTCTAATCTAGGGGTCGATGAAGTCCAATCCTGCAGCATCATCTTACATTTTATAGGGGCGAATCGCATGCCAAACATGCGGAGGTTTTTGCTCAGGGTGTTCAGTAGACTCTGCATTTTGTCAGAGTCCTCGCCTAGAAGGACTATATCGTCCGCATATTCTAAGTCAACGAGATTCTTCCCTGGTAGCAAGTCAATCCCTGAGTCGCTGAAGTGAGTTAGGGTTAAGTCCATTAGTACATCTATGATGAAATTGAATAGGAATGGGGATAATGGGCATCCTTGACGGACGCCACTAGTCGTCACCACTTCAGATGACAACTCGCCATAAGCCCTCACCTGGCTGACTGCATGAGTACGAGTAGAGTGCCTTAATCAGTGCAATGTATTTTCTTGGCATTCCCTTTACAGCCAAGCATCGCCAGAGAACCTCCCGATCGACAGAATCGAATGCCGCCTTTAGGTCAAGAAATATAATGATTGTCGGACGCCGGTAGGAATGCCTATGTTCTAGAATCTGTCGAAGGGTGAAGATGTGATCAATACACCCTCTACCTGGCCTAAAACCTGCCTGGTTTTCTCGTGTTTGTGTCTCCCGAGCACCACTTAGTCTACGCAGTATTATTGAGCCTAGGATTTTAGATACTATATTAGTCAAGCTAATCCCTCTGTGATTATCACAAGACGACTTGTCCCCCTTCTTGTATATCGGGATGATCAGTGACTTACACCAACCCGATGGGACTTCCTCTGATTCCCAGACGCTGCCTAGAACCTCCGTTAACGCAGACAGTAAACTGTCGCCTCCGTACTTAAATACCTCTGGAGTCAATAAATCAGGTCCCGCTGCTTTGCCTAGCTTCAGATTGGTGACAGCTTTAGTAACCTCGGTTAAGGACGGAGGACCTGTGTCTATCTCCCATTCAGGGAGGTGTTGGATGTCCGGTAGGTTAAGTGTGGCTGTGGGCCAATTAAACTGCTCCTCATAGTGTTCTTTCCAGCGCTCCAGACGTCTATCCTGGGAGCTAATTATGGTGCCATTTTTCTCGGAGATTGTTTCGCTTATCATTTGCCTTTTACCACCTGTTTCCCTGATAAGCCTGAATAGTTGTCTGGTGTTGCCTATCGCCGATGCTTTTTCCATCTCTTTCGCCTTTGTCAACCACCATTGTTCACGGTCCTTGCGGAGACTTTTCGTAAGTTTCCTCTTGTGCAGCTTTCGCTCCTCATTGAATTCGGAGCTCGCCGGAATAAGTCTTCTAGCATCTATCAGTTCGGATGAGGCAGTCGAAATCCAATGTT